AGGTTGCAAGCTTTATTCGATGACAAGGGTCGCTGGTATTGGGGGTGGATTTTGAAGGGAAGGGAAGGAATTGCAATGAAAGAATGAGTCTCGCTATTTACCTAGTGCTAGGATCGGGGCTTCAAAGGGGAGGATGGAAGATATGTGCTAAAGGTGGCGAAGAAAATTGAAGTGGGGGATTGCAGAGGAAGTAGGACGACTTCATAAATAGGCAACTTCTCCACTTAACTCTCTGCGTATCCACTAGTACTTAGATAGACTCAAAAGCTATCAGTAGTTGAAAGGTAGAGTTATGCAGATAAACACTAAACAAAGACAATGAGTGACAGTACCAAACAAATTGGAAACAGGAAGTTGAAAAGAGAAGAGTACAAATTGGACACAGGACATTGATCAGAGTACTGCACCTGGTGTTGCTTGCGTTGTGAATGTGTTGCATCTACGCAGGTAATATCTCCTAGCAAATTGTTACCCTACAGCTGACGAGATGATCAATCGACTGAGTAGTAGCGACTCATTAGACTGAGCCCAAATGAATATGATATTTTTGGAAGACCAACTTAAGAACGATATAAGATAACAACTGATTAAGATTTTTACTTCGAGGTAACCCGTGCTTTGAGTGAAATGCCCAATGATTCTCTTTAACAGGGGGATGTAGGAAGTCGCTAAACAGAGGATCAAAGATTGGCTTCGAATGATTTTCACTTCTACTTTCATTCACTCAGGTACTCATGTCATAAAAGGCACCAAAACCTTCTAACCTATCTAAGGATGCCAGCAATACCGCTCGCTCACCGAACTTCAATTTGGATTGTTCAAGCCATACTGCCTTTTCAGAATCCCTAACATGTCCCTCTAATTTTTCAATCAAATTTTCGCTTTCTTCTTTGCTTTGACCCAGCAACTTGTTTCGTAAAGAAAAGATGAAATCCATGGGCATCAGATTCCTCAGACTTTCTTCCTCTTTCCAAGCCTTGTAACGAGGAGACTTGGACAAGTTGGGAATATGAAAAACAGAAACTCAAGTAACATTGCGGGTTCCAAAATATTTGCATGTTCAAAAGCAACATGTAAGTGCATTGGAGTCCAGAAGAACAAGGCTTTCTTATGAATTGAGGGCCAGAACCATATGGCATGAAAATTGAATTTTTCAGAATCTATCTTAATCAAACTTTTATTTCATCAAAATTGACCATCACCAGAAGCCATAAAAGTCAAGAATTTCAATGTTAGATACCTTCACTTTTTGTTCAATTCTGCGTAGAAGGCAGAAAGAATGCCCATTTTTTAGAATTGAATCCCATGCTACTGGCCCTAATGAAGGGTGACAGGAGTACAGAAAAGGTCACCAAGCCCAAAGTATCTAAGAGCATCTTTACCGGTTGAGCTAAAAGCCAGCAGTTTTAACTCGCGGCTATTGCTAAGCTACTATAGCGAAGCCTATTCAGCCACACCGGTGTGGCATGAGGTTAAACGGTGGGGTGTGGTTTGAAGTAGAGGTGTGTGATTGTGTGCGGGAGGGCACCAAAATGAAGCACACTCACCGGTTTTTGCTTTTAGCTTGCTTGCGAGCTAACCATTGCTAGTTCTAGCAACGGTTAGCTCGAATCGGAGCCACGAGCTAGTTTGACTTGACTTAAGCTCAGCCCAATGTGGTTGAATTTCGCGGCTAAAGTCCTTAGTCTCATGACAGACACCACCTCCAGGAAGGTTTTGGGACTCAGCAGGGTGGTCTTGCGCAAACCCTTTATTCTCTGAGGCATTATCTATGGCCCCTCACTCTTTGCTTCAAGAGGAGGGCATTTTTATCTGTTTCAAGGCCTATGATTAATGTCAGCCTCTATGCTACTAACCTGTAAGGGTTGTGCTCTGAGTGTTAACAAGAAGAGTAATTGGGAAGGTTTATTCGTGGTTAAATCCCTCAACCTGTAAAAGAAACAGGGAGGAGTCAGTGAGGAATGGTACTTCTACTGCTGACTCATCCAATTATTCAATTGGGCATCCAGATCAATCCTGTTACGTGGATTAATAGGCTTCCAATGTGAGGAATTCTTCTACTCACTTGGGATCAAGTCTTTTAACAACAATCCAGATGAATAAGTGTATGTACACTTAAGGACCAGAATTGTTTAACCAGGGGGATAATTCTTTATGCAATAGAGATAAGTAGAAATGCCTTGAATCTGAGCAAAGTAAATCTATTTAGGTCTAAGGTAGCTGGGTTGTATTGTTATTGGTGGTTTGAATCACTAATAAACACGGTACAAGTGTTGGTTTGATGCTACTAGAATTTCCTGGGGGGAAAAGGTAGGAATCTGAGCTCCTTAAATATTCTACAGGGGGCTCAGGGGAAGAGGAGAGGCCCTCAGGGCACTAGGGAGATTCTTAGCAGCTCTACAATTTCGTGTAAGGATGGGAGCTGCAGCTGTACAGTGCTATGCATGGGTGGAAGGTCATAGGACATGAGATCATACATGCATAATTGAGTTTTGTGGCCTATTTCTCACGTAATTGAAAAGGCTACAGTTACTGTGCAGGGGCTGTGCAATTGTAGAGTTGGTTGCATACGTGTAACTCTGCTTATGCAAGCTTGTGATCATGAGAAATGCATGCCCTTCATGCATAATTCAGTCTTGCATGTAGAATTTGGGCTCCTTTCCCGTGTAGGCTACTTTGAATTATGCAAGCTTTGAATTAGAGCACAAAAGGGTCTTGATGACGCCATCTAAGAGGGTTATGATGCAATCTGATGCCCTGATGATGTGATCAAGGATGGGTAAGCTTCAGATAAATGTATATAGCTTATTCCTCATCCACTTCACGCTTCTACTAGCTAATTCTTACACATATGTTATTAATTTATGTATTATAAAATATGTACATAATGTATAAGAATAAATATTGTTTTAATACTTTATTCTAAAGCTATTTCTGTGAAATCCTAGTGATATTATATGTACAATGCTCAAGGGGATTTCACAGTTAATTATAGAATTATTAAATATAAATTATGAATTAAGATTAAATGTAAATACATATTTATTTATTTATTATTTTAACAACAATGTATAATATTTTCCAGTATTCAATCAGTTATTATTATTTGCAGTTACTAGGTACATTTCACGTACTGTGAAAGGTGCTCTGTGGCTGACAATTAAGACCACCACTCAGTTGACTCCAAATTCCTCTTGAATCACATTCAATGACTTGGGGAAGACCTAGTATAATTAGGGGGTCGGAAAAACGACTCCCAAAAATTGTCTGACGACTCCCATTTTGGTCAAGGGGTCGTCAGACGGGAGTCGTTCTTCTAAATCAATGAGTCGGCCATCCAATTTCTTTTTTAATTTAATTTTTTTTTTTTGATTTTTAGGGAGTCGGCGCCCCCAAACCACCCCTCATGCTTGAGGGGGTTTGGGAGTCGCTCACTCCCATGACCGAAGGATTTCCTTCCCGTCTATGAGAAAGAAAAACTACCGGAAGGAAGGAAAACATTCTCGTATAACATCCTCATCAACGGAGGGGATCCTTCCGTCAATGAGTTATAAAATCTCAACGGAGGGTATCCCTTCCGGTCAATGAGGTATAACATCCTCATCATCCGGAAGGGATTCCTTCGGTCAATGAGGATGTTATACCTCATCAACCGGAAGGAATCCTTTCTGGTTGATGAGGGTAACAACCTCATTGATTGGAAGGAATTCCTTCTAATCGATGAGGTTGTTATAAATCTCATTGATTGGAAGTCGATGAGGGTAAAAACCTCATTGATTGGAAGGAATTCCTTCCAATCGATGAGGATTTTATACCTCATCGACCGGAAGGAATCCCTAATCCTTCCGGTCATGGGAGCGAGCAACTCCCAAACACCCTTAAGCATGAGGGGTGGTTTGGGGCGCCGACTCCCTAAAAATAAAAAAAAAATCAAAAAAGAAATTGGATGGCTGACTCCCAAAGTCGGCCATTGATTTAGAAGAACGACTCCCGTCCGACAACCCCTTGACCAAAATGGGAGTTGTTGCACAATTTTTGGGAGTTGTTTTTCCGACCCCCTATAATTAAGTCTTATGCCTGATTGCTCATGGATTTGCAAAAATTAGAATGTTGATTGCAGAAGATTTCAAGTTTCCAGAATGAAATCAGAATCTGGATTGGTGGGATCAAATTCCTATTTTCATGGGTTTTAACCAATGGTGAAAGTATAATGCTTAAATTACTAATTTATGGTTAACAAGCATTGAATTCCCCATTGCTTGGTCCATAATGTCCAAACTTGAATGTACAGTCACCTCCCAGATGTTTATAGCCAGTTTGTTTGGATTACACAACCCCAACCCACCAACTTTAAATCATGAGACTTGGAAAAGTGGTGTGAAATATGTTTTGGAAAATGATTCTGAAAACACTAATATGAAAAAATGGTTTTTAACATTTGCAAAAAATATTACAGTTATCACACTTTTTGCAGAAGTTTTAATATTGCTCCAAATGAAAAAATGAAAATTGGAAATTGGAGTGTGGTATCTTGAAAGAATTATAATAGATGAAAATTTTGAAAAAAATAAGTACCAGATGGTTTTAAACTGGTGTAGAATGAGGCATTCATCAGACTCACAATGGAAAATACAGTGGAAAAGGCAGTGTGATCAAATTCAACTTGCATTTTGACCTGAATACTGAGCTCTGAATAATTTCTGTAGTTCATTTTTTCATTTATTATCATTTTCCTTGCATACCATGCTACTCTTTCCAATTTTTGTTTTATCATTTGGAGCAATATTGTAAACTTTTGAAAAAAGTGCAATAATTGTAATATTTTTTTGCAAACTTCAAAAATCCATTTTTTCATATTTTTGTTTTCAGGATCATTTTTTGAAACCTATTTTATACCCTTTGCCCAAGTCTCATGACTTCAAAGTTGGTGGGTTGGGGTTGTGTAATCCAAACAAACTGGCTATAAACATCTGGGAGTTGACTGTACATCATGCAACCAATGAGCTGAACAGAACCCATCAATGTTTCATGATTCTAGGGATTGGGAACAAAAAATTTCATCTGATCACTAGAAATTCAAAACCCCTTTTGCAAACCAAGAATAAATAACTCTGAAATTCTCAGCAATCACAATAAAAAAAATTCAACATCACTCCAATCCTTTTCTCATAAAAACTTTCCATTTTATTGGAAAATATAAAACATCATGCAAGAAAAGGAAAGAATGTTGGATTAATTAATCCTGTATGTAGTACTCGTATGCCTATACTGAGTTATGCTTATATCAAGCCTGCCATTACTACTGAGTTAACGGATCTCTCTTCTCTGACTCTTTCCTCACTGAATCAATACATATCATTCTCATCGTCAAAGTCCCATCGTGAGTCTCAACATCAGTCTCAGTTTCAGTCCCTGGTGTCCCTCAACAAAGAAAGGTTCACTATTTGAAGGGGTGCTTTCACATCTAGGAGTAATTTCAAGAGTGGTACAGAGCTTCCAGGTCTACCCCCTTGATACAAATTTTGGACCCAAATTCTTATGTAGCACCCCATGTATTGCAAGCACCTGCAGTGGCACAGAATTTTGGGTTAAGGAGGAGTCAATGTGTTCTAGCAAAATTATTTACCACCCATTTTGTAGTTGCTCTTAGTATTTATCAGATATCACAATTTCTTTTTCTGGATAAACAAGCCATTTCAAAAACAAAAAAAAATGCAAGTCTATTCATATCTCAACTCAAGTAAAATATGTTTGTAGTAACTGTCTACTTGATTTTTCATCTGTAAATTTTGGACCATGCTTTTCTTTCTCCAAGGTGATTCTGATTCCTGATTCAAAAGAGTTTCAATTCATGTATGTTCCAGCAATTTGGACAATTGGGGATTCTTGGAAAGATAAAAAGAGGGAGTTGGAAAAACAACCCCCAGGAATTGGAAAATTGACTCACACTCCCAGGACTGTTGACAAAGGTTGCTGGGAGTTGATTTTCCAATTCCACTTGCAGGTGAGAGGCTTGTTGTTGGAATTTGTTTTATTATGGTAGTCTTTGGACTAAACCTGTCAGCAAATATGGGAGTCATCAGACTTGACCATCTCAATGGCTGGAAGGACAAAGAAAATGTGTCACTTGCCCTATCCCAAACATTATGTTCGCTGTGGTCAGATCTACTTGTCTCATGGATTGTGCAACTACATTCAATTGACATCAATCTTGTGTTTGATTATATTTTTTCTGCATTTTTCTCACCTGAATTGTTATATTTTTTGTTTCTCTTATTTCTCATGAGGCAAGTATGGCCAGTAACCACAAACCAAGACCTGTAATGAGCACAAAAACCAGTTAAATTAGATCAAGATGCATCAGATTCAAAGTGATCATGTCTTTTTCTTCTTTTGGATGAAGCAAAACATTTATTTACCACTACAAGAAATTTGATCAGGTTGTCTTGCTTAGTGGAGGACTTCCCGTCAACATCTGTGTGTCTCCCAGAGCCGGTTTAGAGCCTCAAAATTCAAATTTCTCTTCGAGAATCAAGAATTTTCGGGTCTAGATCGACTTCTGTGAGGGTCCCAGATCCGACGGGAAGTCCTCCAGTTCCCTGTGACATCAAATTTCATTCCTTTGATTTAAACTTAAAGCAAGTCAGTCAAGAATCTTGGAAAGGTCTATTTACACCTCATTTGAAACGTTTGAGACCTCTTCGGGTCTCCCAGAGCCGGCTTAGAGCCTAAAGATTCAAATTTCTCTGCAAGAATCAAGAGTTTTTGGGTCTACATCAACTTCTTCTGACGGGAAGTCCTCCATTCCAGTGATAAATATGATCAATACTTGCTTGAGAACAGACAACCAAGCTGAACCGGCATTTCATCTTTTGGAATCGTAAAAAGGAAAATGTAGAAATGGCAATCTGAACTAGTATTGTATATCACTTCACAAAAGCAACCTTTGTTGATCAACTACAGGGGCATACATCAAAGCTTGCCAAAGGATGATATCAAGTCAAGCACTATCCATGGCTGAACTGGAGGTTGGGGATCTTGTGATTATATAACTCTCAATACTTAAGTGAGAGTGTAGCTAACATCCCCTAGACCCAGCCCGCGGTTGCCCAGCGGGTGAAGCGGATATCGATCGGGGTTCTTCTCTCTCTCAAGTTTGTGGTGAGCAGACCAACTCTCGTCTGAGTTCAAATGCACAACGATCGAGGTGCAGAAGGCTTCTTGAGCCAGCCAGCTGAAAATGTTTCACGTGCTCTCTTGAACTTCATCCAACTTGGTCAGCTGAATTTGGTGGTCTGAGATCAAAGCTGGGTCGATGACATCATCATGATACCACCACAGCCACTGCAAAGATCACTGTCCCGTCCAAAATCAGCCGGTCCGTGCCCCATGACCGTTAGTCATGATAATCGGGTTTTCCTTCTCTCTTTCATCTGGTGATCCGATCATCATCGAGTGATTATATTTACATCATAAGCCGGGAGTCCGTTAATTTGGACATTGTCAGCCATCCCAGTCACTTTCACGCTGAGCTTATTGTCTGACTGCCTCTCAGCACCCCTGCAATAGTTTTCTGGTGGGTTTTAGGAATCTCCTCTCTTGTTTGATGGCTCAGGGCACAATATCTGGAAAACTAATCTAGCTGACCAACTCCCTCAAGAAGAAAGAAAAATAAGAACAGACTTCGCAAACAGCTCAAGTAACAACAATCCTCAAGATGGCAGACAAGGAACAACAGATCTTCGAACAGGAGGTCAATAGTCTGAAGGCCAAATGGGCTGTGAGTACTCTCCACCTTGGTCAAGATAAGTGGTAAGGTTCTATTTCTAATAACCGACCTGTCCGCTTCACGTTCATAGAGTCCTCGATACAAGGGTCTCGTTCGTCCTTACACTGCCGAACAAGTCGTTGGAAAGCGCGGGACGTTGCCAATCAGTTATCCTTCGGAAGTCGTCGGAAAGAAGCTTTGGAATCTTCTCAATCAACACTACAAAAACGGAACGCCGAGTCACACCTATGGAGCGTGAGTCAAGCCGCACAGAATCTCACTATCCTCTCGAAGTTCCCCTCTGGTCCCCTTTCCGATCAGGCTCTGACTTCCCCATATATCCTTCCCTACTTACCAAAAAAAATCTGTTGTAGACTCGATCCCATCCAGGTGACTCAGATGGCCAAATACTTGGAAACGGTATACGTTTCGGGTTGGCAATCCTCGTCGACCGCAAGCTCCACCAACGAGCCTGGGCCTGATCTCGCAGGTTCGTAGTTATTTCAGTTGAACAGGCTGTTGGGTTAGAGTTTGGCTAACTTGATCGCATCTGGCACCCTCCTTTGGCTTGTCACAGATTATCCTTCCAACACTGTGCCAAACAAAGTGGAGCATTTATTCATGGCACAGTTGTTTCACGATCGTCGGCAACGTGAGGCCAGATTAAGAATGACACCTGAAGAACGAAAGAAAACGCCTCCAGTGGACTATATTCGTCCAATTATCGCTGTGAGTTTTTCTACTACTCTGTCGGAATAGAGCGTATCTAAAAAGAGGAAGAGTTGACCTATTGATCGATGTTCTGTTCAGGATGCCGATACCGGCCATGGTGGTCTTACTGCAGTTATGAAACTAGCCAAGATGTTTGTCGAGAAAGGAGCGGCGGGGATTCACATTGAAGATCAAGCGCCCGGAACTAAAAAATGTGGCCACATGGCTGGGAAGGTCTTGGTACCTATTTCTGAGCACATCAACCGATTAGTCGCAATCCGCCTTCAGTTTGACATCATGGGAGTCGAGAATATAGTAGTTGCCCGTACTGATGCGGAAGCAGCCACCTTACTGAGTACCAATGTTGATGAACGGGACCATGGTTACATTCTTGGAACAACCAATCCTAACGTTGGACATCTAGTCGACTTGATGAATCGTGCCCAAAGCGAAGGGAAATCCGGAGATGCATTACAAAGCATCGAAGACGAATGGACCTTGAAGGCCAACTTGGTTTTATATTCGGATGCCGTCGCAGCAGAACTTAAAGTCCGAGGCGCTCCGACCAACAAAATAGCCGACTGGGTCAAATCTTCGATGGGGTTGAGTCACACAGCTGCGAAGGCCTTGGCTAAGAAGTCCTATGGCATCGAAATCTTTTGGGATTGGGACATGCCCCGTACTCGAGAGGGCTTTTATCGCTACCAGGGAGGAACCGGTTGCGCCATCAATCGTGCAGTAGCTTACGCACCCTACTCTGATCTTTTGTGGATGGAAACCAAGAGTCCAATCTTGGCTCAGGCTCAGGAATTCGCAAAAGGGGTTCGCTCTGTTTGGCCAGATCAATGGCTAGCTTATAACCTGAGCCCTTCGTTCAATTGGGACGCCGCAGGTTTATCCACAGAGCAAATGAAGAGCTATGTTTGGGAATTGGGCAAGATGGGCTTTGTAAGTTGATCTATCTTGGCTGTATCCTTGGCCAACGTTGCGAGACTGAACTCTGCTTGCATTTTCATCCATATTCTCGACAACAGTGTTGGCAATTCATTACCTTAGGAGGACTTCACTCCAACGCATACATATCCGATCTATTTGCGAAGTCGTTTGCGAAGGAAGGTATGAAAGCCTACGTTGAAGAGATCCAACGAAAGGAACGAGAGATTGGCTGTGAGGTCTTGACGCACCAAAAGGCAAGTCTTTCCCACTATGATGATTTTGCGTGAATCCACATCCTGACTTTTTTTATATCATCATGCACTCCGTTTTTAGTGGTCGGGGGCAGACTATGCTGATAATTTGCTCAAGACTTGCACTGGTGGAGTGAGCTCGACTGCCGCTATGGGCAAGGTATGTCGTTTGATTTCCTCCTTTTTTGTGTTAATCGAGAACTGAAATCTCACCAAAACAATATTCAGGGAGTTACCGAATCCCAGTTTGGGGGTCATTGAATTGAAGCAAGAGTCGAACTCTAGCCCTTTGTCGTCGAAAATCAATCGGTTCCTGAAGGGACCCATTTCAAACCTCTTTCCAACTGTTTCGAACCAGATCGTTTTTTACTTGTCGCAAAGACCGATCCATTTTCTATGATTCTCTCTTCCAGCACTCCAAAACTGATCCTGTATATTTCAACTAAATCCCAAATCATACTTGTATTTTTCAAGCATCTTTTGATCCATTGTTTTTTGTATTATGGTGTGCTCAAAAGGACTTAGATTTTGTAGACTTACATTGATGATTACGGTTACATATAAACTGTTTCCTTAGAAATAAATGATAGCTTTGTATTTAAGTAAGTATCCATGTTACTTCAGACCAAGCACATCTGATTTTAAAAGTGTTGATGCCAACTAATCCATGGGCAACAACCCTCAACAACTGAGGCAAAATGGTCTGTGGCCCATGACAAAAGAAATCACCAAACAACTTCTCTTGTGTCATTAGGTTCTTAGCTTCTGTACTTCAGGTTTCCATGCTTGGTCTCCTCCTGTCCATCCCCTCTTGTCCTGTTGTTTTTCCCCATTATACCCTGAGTCTTGGGTTGTTTTTTGACATCTTTTTGTTGTATAATTTGGATGTTCATTGAGTAGTACATGCCCCCATTTTTGGGGAGTTTTTGGTTGCTAATTTTGTTTGCCCCAATTTTTTTTTACTTTGATGACCTTTTGGGTTTTTCTTGAGTTGCACACCTGTCTGTTTTGGTCTAACAAGGTTGGCACTGGTGTCAGGTTGCATGACAGTTTGTTTGGCTTTGCATAACAGCTGTCTCTTTTTCTCCCTCTAGATACATGCACTCTTTGTGTCAATATTTGTGTAGAAGCGTAGACTGTGAATTTGGTATCAATTCCGGTAGGTGTGTCCCGGAGGAGACAGATCTAGTCTCCTCCGGCTGGCTGAGCTGCAACCAAGTCACACCATGTGACCTAGGTCACAACAATTTGCCAATTTTTTTGTTTGCATATTTTCCCACTGATTGCTAATTTAACCAAGTTCCATCCTTCTACATGCTTGTATTTGTATACCGTGGAGGTTGAGTGACATTGCTTTTCTAGATGATTCTCATCTGTGGGGAGGGCACAAGGGTGAAAGAAGCTCTCTGGACTATGATTGTGGAACATGGTGGTTGTAAAGCAGGGGTAACTATGTCATGAGCATCCATCATGCTTTGAGAAATACAAAATGGCCCTATGTATGGTGAACTCACTATGCTAGGCAGAAAATTACTTATTTATAGTGTATTGACACATCCTATCTTAGAGAGAGAAAAAAACACAAAATGGAATTTTTCAGCTTCAAAAAAAAAATAATCTCAGACATGGTCTGGCCAGGTCTGAGTTTATATCCCAGGTGTATTTCAAATCCATTCATCTTTTTCTGCACTGATCTTTTGCCATTCTTCACAGGCTAAACCAGCAAGTTGTGATTTTCAGTGCCCCTACCTGACTGTGAGTGTAGCCACCCAGATATGTGCTGCTGGAAGCACACTGGAATGAACAGTGCTGGTAAGGATTGGCCAAACCTGGTTTGAAATATCTGAGTAAATTCCTTTACTAGATTAGTAAGATGCTTCCAATCCATGTATTGGACCTTGTTTATAGAACCAAAAATGCCTCTTCAACTATGTAGACCAAATTCGCTTCAGTTACTCGATCAATGAACTCTTTCATCAATGAATTTAAGAAGATCTTTGGAGAGGTATGGAAGGGCCTGTTACTTTTACCAGTGGTTTCACTAGTTCATTTGGAAAAAGCAATTTATTTATGTGCTACTTCATGCAGGAATGCTTCTCAAATGACTACTCAAGAACTGAGCAGATCTGACCTATTCCAACAGTCCAATGATTCCTCTTTTGTGTTTAGTCTGATGGTTCACTATTATGCCCTGAGAGGAAAATGGAAGTTTTTCTAATGCTCAAGTATGTATGAGAAGCAAGCTGGGAACATTGGGCATTTGGTATTAAGGACCAGAGGCAACGTCAGCTATCCCAAGGGCCTGTATTTTCTGATGCCATCACATCACATCTTCTCTCAGTGTATCTCAATACATCCCATCAGAACTCCAAATACTTCAACTCACACATTTTGCCTCCATTGATCCTTCTCTTGCTCCTGAAGTCCACCAAATGCCTGAGGACAGCCAAACACTCCACTCACAAAGTACATCAAATTATCCATCAATCACCCCTCCTGGCCCACCTACCTATGTATGACCTAATGGTTGATGTCCATAGTTGCAGGTTACCAAGTGGGGGTGGTTGCCTGAGTTTTCATGGGAAGCTTGGAGTTAAGGTCAGTGAGGATGTGCTCTTTAGAACTGGTGATTCCAAGAGGTGGGATTTCCATTCTCACATTGATACCCAAGTGTAGGTTTAAGTGACCTGGGGACAAATATCTCTGCTGTGGTGAGATGTGAGTTACTGTCTGCATTCTCTCAGAGACAACTGTGATTGGTGTGGAAAGTGCACATTTCACTCTTGGTGCAGTGTTGTGTCCATTGGGCATCACTGCCATGCATATTTATGTTCATGAGAGGTGCCTACTGAGATATGACAATGACCCAGAACACATCCCCATCAGGCTACACTCCCTCTAGTAACTGAAGATATCCCATTTTTGTTTGGAAGCAAACTTACACACAAGTCCACTCCTTCTTTGGCTTGGTGTTTTGAAGCAAGCCTCCAAAGGAGAGACTTGAATGCTAAAACACCTTTCCTGTGAGAGCAGGATACAAGGTTTGGGTGGTGGCAGCCTTGTATGCATCTTCACAGATTCATTCTATGTTGGAGTAAATTGTGGTCTGTTTTCTTCTTTTGTTTTTCCTCCAGTCTGTTCTCTGCTTCCAGCCATCCTCATCTCATGTTACAGTCTGTGAGACCCTGTATGTAGTACAACTAGGACAGTCTGTGTGTTGATGGAAGGACTCTTTTCTTCATCCTAATTCCACTAACTCACTGTCTGTCCTAGGTAAGTCCAGTTGTGTTTCTCTTTCACTTCATTTTTTTTTCTCTTTCTCTCATTCAGTGATGCAATGGATCTTGTCCTTCCACTCACTCACTCTCTGTCCTCGATTCATTGCAACATTCTGAGATCCTGACACATTGAAGATCAGCATCTTCTTGATTGTTTCCTATTTTTATCATTACAAAAAAAGTTGTTTGATTCTAACCATAAAAAAATCGGATTGAAGTTCATGATTTTTTGAAATTTTCAACTTTGATTAGCAAGTTTGGCAGAGGAGCGCACTCTCACTGTAAGCATATTTCAATATGCCTCCAAAATGAAAAAATGCCTTTCTGTTTTTTAAGAAAGATTGGTATTGGAAATAAAAAGATATGCAAAAAATCAACAAGATGATGGAGGATACATGTAAAAGGACACCAAGATTTTAAGACAAGCAAAGGAGAAAGAGTTAAAAAGAGCCTCCAAATTGCCTCCTTCTCAGCTCAGGCCAACCTTGAGTTTTAAAGTATGAGCCTCTCTGGTGACCTGCCTGCACAACCCTCTCACCACAAGAGGCTTAGTTAAGCTTGTTTTAGTGCCATGTTTCTTACGTCTTGAACCGGGCCACAGAAGGAATGCGTATGGGTGTAAACTATCTGCACTTTCTTTTCTTTTTTTTTTTTTTGTGTATGTTGTTGGTTGTATGTCTGCTGTCAATCAATCGAACAGGATGCAGATATGGAGGATGGACATTGGATGCGATATCAGACAGGAGGGGGAAAAAACACACACACAAACTTGTCTTCCTTTTGTGTCTTGATAACTCATCCCCAAAAGAAATAAATCAAAACAGAGAAACAATCATATTGGAAACCCCCAAACGTAATCAACCAAAAAAAAAAGAATAAAATAAGATTACAGCTTGGCAAAAAAAGGGGGGGGGGAGGGATGATTTCCGCCGATTTTGAGTTTAAGAATGGGAAGAACAAAGATAAGAAGATTGGGGTTGAGTAGGAGTGGAAAGGATAGGAAATTGGGGGAGGAGTGAACTATCCAAGGAAGAAGGCCATTGCGACAGTTATTGATTTTGGGGGGTGTATGGGTTCATTCGAGGGTGTGGTATCCACTTCCATCAACAGGCTGAGCTGGAGAAGGAGCAGACAGTTGAGGATTGGGCGGCAATGTCTGTTGCTGTTGCTGCTGTTGCTGCTGTTGCTGCTGCTGTTGTTGTTGTGACTGTTGCTGTTGCTGTTGTTGCTGTTGTTGGATCTGTTGCTTTTTGAGAGCGATGCGGAGGTCGAGTTCTTTCTTAGCCCTGCGGACCTCGTCGTCGGAAAGGTTCTGGGCGTCGGCATGGTCGTCGAGGGCGAACTCGTGGGCGGCCGTTAAAGCTTGGTGAGAGACCGCGGAGGGGCCGGGTGGGGGCGCATTATCGGCTCGTCGGAATGCGGCCGGATTAGAGTGCGAAGGCGCCCATGCTGCCATCAAGGAGAGTGAACTCAACATGAGTATATATCTCTCTCTATTCCCTTAAGTGATTTGACACTGTTTTTTTTTCTGATGCAGGTTATTTCGATTTACCTGGAGTTTCACGCTGAAGCCCGCCGCCGCCTCCCCCGCCGACGGTCTGGCCCTGATTCAGACCATGGAAAGCAGGTGGACCGCGAGTGCCGGTGAAGTGGGACGAGAAGGCGCTAAAGCCCTGGCCGCCGTTCCGGCTCAGTTGGTTCAGACAGGTCATCAGACTGATCGGCTTGATGATCAGCCCAATCAGGATTAGCATGAACGGAATCCCCGAGGTCGAGCTCGACCAGTTATACATCCAAAATAAATCCAGAATCGCCGTTAGGACTAGTAAGATGCAATACTTTATACATTCCGATCGTTCAAATTCATCATGAAGATATGTCCGTCATACCACCCAAATTACAAACGTCAACAACTCAAATTTTTGCAGCATCAAAAGACTGGAGGAATTATAAAGAGTGTATTCAGACAGGTTAAGGATGTGGAAGATAGACCCACCTGACGCAAGCCTTCGAGGACGGCCGGGGACGGATTATCGACCTCATTGTCGATATTATAGAGGCCGTAGAGATGGACCGGAAGGTTATAGGAGGGGGAGACGGAGACCGAGGCGAGGGTAGAGAGGCCGACTTGGACGAAGACGATCCGATGTAACTACATTGAGATTATTGGAGGACCAAGGATCGGAGATGATTGTCAGTTGTGTTGCACCATCACATTATAGCTTCCGGAGATAAGTTGAGACAGGGGGGGGAGGGCTCACATCTAGGTTGCTTGATATGTCCATCTTCGGCTATCCTTCGTCCTGCGTGTGCGCTCAAGGGTTCTCTTGGGTTGTGGTTGGCTTGGACTGCTTTCTTTCGATCGGAGTCCTATGTGTAATGGGTTGGTTGAGTTTGTGGTGTGTGTGGTTGCTGTGGCGTAAATTGACCAAGTTGAAGTGCCCAGAAAGCGACGATGCTTGTAGCGGGGTAAGCTCAGCTGGGAAGTCTGGACACACACAATCCACAATCCTCCACATCTCAATGGGAAAAAAAAAAAAACACTACATACTCAAATGGTTTATTTGATGACAACAATCATCCACTATCCGACAAGCACTTGCAAAATCAATCAAGAGGAAAAAAACAAAACAATCCACTTGGCTGACGAATAAACCAAGCATAATAAATTGAAGAGATTCAGATTATAAAGGTCTCAAGGTTCCAAGCAAAAATGAAGCCACATCTTCTTCTTCTTTAGGACATGTTCAACATGAATATAAATTGTTTACGCTCCTAGCAACCCATTTTCTTTGTCCAACAAAGTCATCAGCACTGAACGCATTTACATCGAAATACAGCTTGATCATAATGTATATGCTTTAATTACTGCTTATGTACATCTCAGAAAGAACAAATAAGACTTGGTTTAATTGAAAAAACCAAAACAAAAAGATCCACAAAACACAATTAACAATGTTATCCTGCCATCAAAATCATACAAACAACAAAGCCGGGGGGAGGGGGGGAAAGCGTTAAGATCAAGCCTTTGATGCGAACTGAAAGTGTCAGTGTGTGAGAAAGATATGAAGTAGGAAAAAAAAGACAATCGAAAGAAAATAATAATACTCTCCAAATGTTAAGGATGACACAATTTGAATGCAGTCCATGTTGAAGATCTAAGTCAAGAGTCTATCTATTATGTTAAGTAAATACAAGTGAAATCGAATTTTCGTTTTCCTGGTTCCTTGAATGACAATATTGTAACCAATTCAATTATGATCTGCTGCCCGAGCCTGCCGGAGAAAAAAAAAATGGGAAATTGAGACAGGATTAGTGAGACGGATAAAAAAGCACCTGAGAATAAGGTGTGTAAGGATTACTCACTCCTACCAAATCAGCCTCAACCATCTCACGAACAAGACTATCGAAATCCACTGTCCTTTTCCAGCCAAGTAGACTTTCCGCTTTCTTTGGCATTCCATGAAGTAATTCTACTTCAGCCGGTCTGAAATACATAGGCTACACAAAGAACCAATAGTCAAATATAAATACGTAATGTTTTTCTCAAAGAAGAAACGAGTCTCCCTAGGAAGAGAAAAGAACTTACATCAACTCGGACTACCACTTTTCCGGTCTCGGCGTTCATCCCAATCTCATTTACACTGTCAAGTTCACCTTGCCACTTGATCACAATATTTACAACTGCGAAAGATTTTTCAACAAATCTGATTTAAGGGGAAAAGAAAATCGATCAGTACTGGATCAAATTTGAGTTTAGACTAAAAGCAGGAGAAGACTGACTCCCTAACTGAATGAGTTTCACCGGTGGCGAGCACAAAGTCATCTGGTTTATCTTGTTGTAACATCTTCCACATCCCTTCTACGTAGTCCTTGGCATGTCCCCAATCTCGCTTGGCCGAAAGGTTTCCAAGATAAAGACATTCTTGTTGTCCAAGACTGATCTCAGCAACGGCTCGACTAATCTTTCGAGTCACGAACGTTCGTCCTCTTCTAGGCGACTGCATGATTGTAAAAAAAGGAGAGGTTTAAACTTTTGTCCTTCAAGATAGAAAAAAAAAACTTGTACTTTATTACCTCGTGATTGAAAAGAATCCCATTACAGGCAAACATGTCATAACTTTCCCTGTAGTTTTTGACGATCCAATAGCTGTTTGAGTAAGGAAATAATAAGTACAGAATCTGTCAAGTGGAGCCAGGCGAAAGACGAAATCGTGAGACGAAAACGAAACAAAGTTACGCGTATAATTTGGCGACGCCATAAGGGCTTCGAGGATAGAAAGGGGTAGATTCAGTCTGCGGAGTTTCGGCGACTTTCCCATAAAGTTCGGAAGTGGAGGCCTGATAGAAGCGGACGTGTTTAGTAAGCCCGCAGGTTCGGATGGCGTCCAATAATCTCAGGGTGCCCAATCCATCGACATCGCCGGTATATTCGGCCATATCAAAGGAGACCTTGACGTGAGATTGGGCGGCGAGATTGTAGACCTCAGTGGGCTGGGTTTGTGAGATGATATAGACTAGGTTGGTGGTATCGGTCAGATCACCATAATGTAATACCATCTTGGGACCTATTATAATGAGTTTCTCGGATGACACAATCGACCAAGTGGATTTCAAAACAGACTCGATCAGAACGAAGATAGAAGATCCACTGATCAGGAGCTGACTTAAGGCTAGGGAGTACACCACCTACGTTCGTGTACATCTTTATAAAGATGTTCGATCCTGCCCGTGTTGAAGCTCGATGAACGTCGGATAAGGCCGTGGACTTCATAGCCTTTGTCGAGTAAGAGTTCTGTGAGGTAAGATCCATCTTGTCCGGTAATGCCTGATCAAAAGACAAAACAAAACGGTTATTACTAAATTCTATTTGGTTTGAGTTTTGAAGAACCAGACGACTGACCAGTGATCAAAGCGACTCTACGTTTCCTATAATCTTCAGGCGAGATAGTGGATCCTAACGAGCTACGATAGAAAGCGGGTCAATATTGTGTTGGACTGTTGGGGTTAAAGTTATTGATGATGGGGTGCTCACATTGGTTGACCGAACCTGGGAGCATGTTGGCAGGGTGGTTCGTTGGTGGATGTTGCGGTATTCGGTCGTTGGTCGAGACTGTGTGAAGTCATAATAGTTCTTTGTCAAGTTTTCTTTTGGTGGATGGTCAAGAGTGAAGTGTTGTCTTGTTGAAGTGTGCGATGCGGGTAGGACGAAATGGGCTGTGTATGACGTCATCTCCTTCAATCACCTTGGCTTTCAGATCAACTCATCATGGACATGGCTCTGGCTTTTAACCCTGATTTACAGTTTCATCTAGAATGGCTTATCATAACTCCTTGCAGTTCAAACCAGAAAAAACCATACACCAACTTTCACTTTAGAACTAGGAAATAACATCACGCCCCAACTGCGGGGCTAGGGAAACGGTGCTTCATCTCATGAATTTCTGTCCACACGCCAGAACTCAGCGGGTGTCACTTCGAAAACATCTGCGTCTGTTGCGGATCCGATTTAGGGCGGAGCGACTGGACTTAGTCCTTGGCAACAGGAAGGCTGAAACAGCATTGGCAAAATTCCTCATCGATTCGAAGCGATTCACTGATCAACTTCCTCGTTGACTCTTCCTTAGCATTTTCCCCTCTTCAATTTTCCTTTCTTTCCCTCCTTTTTGTCTCCCTCTATCTTGTTTTCATTTTCAGGCCGCTTCTCTCATAACAATATCGCTCCCGGTTGTTATCTGTCTCCGTTTTGTGTTTTACTTATTTCACATAGATGTCACTTAGATTCATAGTGTGCAATGCCATAGGCCAAATTTCACTTAAAAAAAAAAAAAAAAAAAAAAAAAAAAAAAACATCACAATCATATGGAGGTACTGAGCAGCCATTTTGGCCAAAAAAAATGAAAACATGGGGATGAACCGCCAATTTGGCCAAACAACCGCCAAATGACGCCCCTGAACCGCCAGATTGGCCAAATTGAAAAATGAATCCAACCGCCAAATTGGCCACCCATGCTCCTGAGCCGCCATCATTGCCCCTGAGCCGCCATGCATGGCACTGAACCGCCAAATTAGCCATCAATTTTGAAAAAGGTCAAATACAGCCTGAAAATCATACAGGGCATGGCGCACTACAGAAGCCACATTCCCCACCCGTATCAGAAATGTAAACACATAGATTCTGTTCGTTCCGTAGTGTTACCCGTTACTCGTTACACATAAGGACAAAACAAGCCTTGCATAAGTCACATCCAGACAACGATCCAGCCCTTCCCTTACAGCTTCCAGACGATCCAGGCCTGTCCTCACAACATCAAGACGACCCAGTCCTTTCCATTTCTAGATCAAGAGTAAGCAGCAGAATCCCATACTTATGCACCCTTAATAGCCAAACACAACTAACGTAACTTGCATAGAAAAAAGGATGTTCTGTTTCCAGTGTGGAAAATCTCCCGTGGTATTCCGTGGATTATGCAACGACTGTGTCGACAAAATGATTCCAAACTCAGTGCCTCCTCCAAAAATCAGACCTCCAACTGGCCAATTGACCTCGGCTCAAGAGGTTCTCCAATCTAAACGGCAAGAGGCAATCCAAAGGGCCAGAGCGTTATACTCCAATCCAATCACCACACCTACTGTCCCCAGCCCACTCGGCCAGTCCATGGCATTTCCTATTGGCGTGAACCCAGTGGTGAATGGATTGACAGGCAGCAGTCAAAGTATGTAATTTCATGCGTGTAAATCCCATATCGTTCTACTTCAAACGTTAAAACTCACCTATAACTTTATTACTACTGTCTAATACCCCACCACAGCTGTGGTCCCTGCGGTCTTGAACCCTGCATACAAATCAGCCCAAGCATCACATTCCATGGCATTTCCTATTGCCGTGAACCCAGTGGTGAATGGACCGACCGGCAGCAGTCAAAGTATGCAATTTCATGCGTGTAAATCCCATATAGTTCTACTGAAAACGTTGTAACTCACCTGTAACCTTATTACTACCAACACAGCTGTGGTCCCAGCCATCTTGAACCCTGCATACGAATCGGCCCGAGCTTCAAGAGTCTCGAAAACTCAACCTTACCCAAACAACCGAGTCGGACGTACAGTTGCAAGAAGAGCTCCGGCAAGTAAAGGTGCCCTACCTACTACGAATCCTCCCGATAAGATTTCGGTCCAATGTGGCTTTGAGATGTGGGCCCGAGGCAAATATGCCCCTTCGCAATCGGTCATTCGAAGCAATCAGTTTGTGCTCTGGTCAAATCTTGATTCTTTTCAAGAGCTGATCGACACGCTCTGCAACAAGTTCAATGGTAAAGTGGAACTCCGGACAAAGATGACTGAGGACAGGGAAATGTTTGGTGTTGAGCACTTCAGTTTTTGTCGGTTAGGCACCAAGAAAGGAGGATCTGTTGAAGATTACGAATCGTTTGTCGAGTTCTTAAGGCGGGAAAAGGCGATCGACTTGATTTATGACCGGGACACCTTTGAACGGCACACCCTTGATGAAGAAGAACAAGAAGGAATTGACGCTCAAGCTGCACGATATGCTCTCCGATCAGGAAAGGACACTGAATATCATGAAGATTTGCATTCAGACGCTGAAAGTGACAGCTCTGAATCCAGTCTTCCTTCGACCATTTTCACATCTGCAACCGGTTCAACATCGACCACAACTTTACCCCAGAATCGATCAACTTTACCTCCTCCTCCAAGTCTACCTTCTTTATCATCAGCAACCCGGTCAACTCCAACCACTAATTTACCTCAGAATAAATCACTTGTTCCTCCTCCCTCTCAGCTGGTGGTTCGGAACGACCACGATGAACAGCCAAAATTCTCCTCAGTCATTCAACAAGAGACCAACCCCCATGTTGAAGCCTTGAAGAGAAACTTGGACGATGAACTTGTGATTGTTAGGATCCTCCCACCTTGTAAGTGTCACTATTGTAAATAACCACCTGACTTAAGTGACTAAGAATTTGTTATTAGGGCGAGCCGAAACAATCTTGGATCCAAACAATTTATCATGGGAGAGATTTGGGAGCATGGAGAACTCCTTGTCATACCGAGATGCCGACAACTCTGACTGGGTTGATGGAGTTCGATTCAGCCTGGATCCTGATGGTCTCAACATGCCTCAGAATATTTGTCTCTACCGTGTTAATTATAATAAATGTTTCAAGGTGAAAGAGACAACCAAAATCATAGCAGCCGAGGTTTTTGACTCTGGAACAGTTTTTCCCATGGTAGCCGAATACTCTCGAGTCCGCAAGGATCTAACATGTGATTCATATGCATATGTACCAAACTATTGGCTGAGGACCTATGCGGTTTCCAGGCAATTCCTGGCTCAATTCTGTCAGGCTATAAGTCAGTCGGCAGGTGGGACAATTATTGGGCGGACGGCAAAAAGGTTACGTGTGAGTGTGTCTGCTATTCAAATCCTCTACAAATTTATTGGTCTGACCAACTACCCATCAGATTGTCGATGGATTTCCTGTTCACCATGACATCTTTACTCGACCAAGACATGAGGATAAATACGTTCCTGGTCAGGATGATGATATGTTTGATTCCACTGAAGAACCCAACTACCCTCTCCGGTCCGTCAATATTGACAATGAACCATCTCGAGTGTTCTGGATGGAAGAAGAAATCACCGGCGGCTATACTTGCCTTTTGTCAATTGAAAACGATGTCTACTTCACCGGTGAACCTCGCTCTCCCACCGAATTTTTGCTCCACTCGTTTCAACACTGGGTCTATAATCATACTCGTGGCCAGCTCACCATTCGAAAATTTAAAGGCCACGGTACCCTTCTTTCCAAACCACACATTGTAGATTTGAACACCAAGTACGTGCTATACATCTGTCCTATTTATGGCTGTATTTGACACTCATAATTTCTATACCCTTTGAATCCACAGGTCTATGTGGAAGAATAAATATGCCAAAGAGTACATGGAATTATTTCTCGAGAAGCACAAGTGCAACAAGGTGTGCAAAGCCCTTGAACTACCCGACTTGGTCGAAATCCCTTGGTTCCCACCACCCAGTGCCCCGGACGACTTTGCCAATGACCTGGGCCACTTTTGCCGAGCCACCGTCAACACTGCTCAATCCACCAGCAACAACCCACAAACCGCCTGCGAGATCAGTCAATCCAGCAGGGTCAGCCACCAATCCACCAGCAACATCAGTCAATCCACATGCAACATCGGACACACCACTGGTAACACTGGACTAACCAATGAACCAACACCTGGCCCTACGGATGAGGATCTGGGGCTGATCTCAGTTGTCAGACTGGGCACCCAGGCGCTGAGGTCACGATTTCATGATTGACCTTGTCATGTATATAGTTTTAATGGTGACTTAAGCAATTATAATTCCTTTATTATTGCCTCTATTCATGTCATCCGTGGCACTTGAGAACATTGAGCAAAGAACTTCCAATGAATCAGGCAACCAGGGCTCAGGCAGTTGACCCTTGAGGCCATGTCTCAAGTTCAGTCAAAGCCCTGTGTTATACAGGCCTGTACTGGCAATGGAATCTATTCTGAGACGATTTTTTTTTTTTGGACTCACTCATCTCAACCACTCACTCAGATTTTTCTAATCCAAAAGCCACATCTCATCCATCACCCAAACTCCAGCTCAGCTCACCCTCCTCCTTAGACCCAAGAGCCTGGCCCCATTAGGAATCCAACTGTGAGTTACTCTTTTTCTCCTATGATGATCAGGGCCCTTTGGCCCCTGTCTATGTTGATGGGGTCCGTTTTCCCATAGGGTTATAGCCTCTTTAGCCACAACCATCAGTGATGGTTGTGGCTGAAGAGGTGGAGGAGGATCGCGCTGACCCCCCCCTCTTCTTTTCTATTGCTATGTAGGGTAGCTATAAACGCGAACAATCCGTTGGATCGCTCGCTAGTCAGGTATGTGGACGGCCGATGCAATCGGCCGTCGTTTTCTTTATATAGCATCGGGCCTCTTCAGCCACAACCATCACTGATGGTTGTGGCTGAAGAGGAGATGGGGGATCATGCTGACCCCCCCTCCTCTGATTTTCTTGGTCTAGGGTAGCTATAAACGCGAACGATCCGTTGGATCGATCGCTATTCAGGTATGTGGACGGCCGATGCTATCGGCCGTCTTTTTCTTTATAAATCTTCGGGCCTCTTCAGCCACAACCATCACTGATGGTTGTGGCTGAAGAGGAGAAGGAGGATCGCGCTGACCCCCCCC